TGTAGGTGAACGGACAGGATGCTTATGTACGTGTCACCTGTCAGAGTGGTATCTAGACGTATCAGGAGTCCCATATCATTCCAACTGCACACGCCCCATACCATCGCAGAGCTTCCACCAGCTTGAAAAGTCCCCTGTTGACATGCAGGGTTCTTGGATTCATAAGGTTGTTGCCATACTCGTACACGTCTATCCGCTCGAAACCACGTGAAATGAGACTCGCCAGACCAGGCAACGTGTTTCCAGTCATCAACAGTCCAATGACGGTGTTGCCAGGCTCAGGAGAGGCGTAAAGCTTTGTGTCGAGCAGTCATCAAAGGTACACGAGAGGGACTTCGGCTCCGAAACCCGATATCGATAATGTCTCGTTGAGTGGTTTGCACGTTGACACATTCTGATGTACCAACATTGAAATTTGTAAGAATTTGCGTCGTCGTTGGTCCCATTCTTGCACAATCTTTTTGTGGCCGCAGGTGTTATGCCCTATCTCTCTTGCGGCGACTATAACTTCACTTCCAACTCACTTAAATCGTGATAACCTGTCATTGTAGCAGCAGCAACCGATGTAACAAATGTGCCAGATTCTGGTTGTCTTATATAGTCGCTGCCGACCGGATCCCCATTCTTATTCTGATTGTATCCAGATCTCTTTATTTCAAACCGCATGGGTATTTCGTGAAAGAACATAAAGTTTCTAAACATATTCTCGTAAATATATTGCTAGCTTAAACCATTTTCGTTTCAATTTAATAATTTTAAACCAATGGGCTGGTTACGCTTCAGTTTCATAATGCAACACATGATCTCATTTTCGTTGAACTCTCTGAATTTTCGAAAATTTCAGTTTTTTTCGAAAGTTAGAAGTAACGAGATTGTATGTGCTCTTGTAAGACCACAACTAGTCGTTTAGATTCTTCTAAGTTGGTTAATACTTATATTGTTTGTGAAACTATTTTTGTTTGGTTGACTGTTGCGAAATTGTAGATTAGTGTTGTTTCAGAGGCTGAGAGAAGCGAGAATACAGGTGCGAGAGTGTAAATTCATTGTAGCAATACCGCTTCTGCAATAGGTATTATTATTACATTGAGGGGGGTAAGCTTTTCGAAGTCTATAGCATTTGGTATTGTCTCATCCATGGCTTGTTATAACAAAATATGTGCAATGCTCACATTGAAGCCAAAGGCATTTTCCATCAAAAGAAATAGCTTCAATATTGTTCACACGGCACTAGTTACACTTTGAAAAAAAGTTCGATAGTACAGTATGTAAGTAATATGCCACAGTGTGGGATAATGTCTTGCCACAAATTCCCTCAAAGCTCGTTCTATGTGATAACTTAGTGTGACTTTTCATTCTTTGCGACATAAGTTACCACTGATAAGCGAAAACTTTGTACTCATAACTACCACTGGATTCATTGATTGTTTTAGTGATACCGGGCACGTCAACTACCAGGGTCATTGGTCCCGTAGATGTAGAGCATGAATTTGCTCGAGAGGTGGCTGTGATCTTTTCCTCGCTGTGTGGCGAGATCCGGCGCCGACCTACCGTCGGCTAGTGGATGGTTTCCCCAACCAGTTATCTCCACCACCGTGGCACTGCCCCAGCCAGGACAGGCTATAAGCTTCCGACCGGTCTCCCGGCATGTGTTTGTGTAGTGCGTGTTAGTGTGTGAGGGGAGACGATAGGACAAGAAAGAAGTGGGAAAGATCGTGCGGTCCGTGGTCCGTTTGGTAGGGTACTGCTCCGGCATTCGCCTGGCGATGATCGGACAAACAACGGAAAACTACTGATCAGAGCAGCCAACCGCTAGAATTCTCCTGTAGACAGCGACTGAATTTGACCTAGATGAAAAGCTAGTGTCGAAGATCCTACCACAGTCGGGACTCGAATCTAGGACCTCCCGGTCAGAGGTACTGCAGTGACATCAGTTGATGCTCTGAGCCATCTCACCCGGTGCTACGACTGGAAGTGATATGCTCTAAACGTGCGGATCACAGGTGAGCCTTGCCTCTACGAGAGCAGGACTCGAACTGACAAGATAAATAACGAAAATATTTGAAGCCTAGCTTTACATTTCATTCTCTAAAATTTCCAGGACGAGAAAAGAACATCGTTCAGTTGTCGACCTCACTTGACTCTCACACAAATTTAGTGAAAACATTCCACGGTGCAACATTGTAATTACAGCAATAAATACTTCTGGATTTCACGAGGATATTTTCTAGAAACATCCCCAACGGAACGTTGAGTTAGCCTCGAGAGACCATGTTGATTGGTTTAGCGAATAAACGTCCTCGGCTGCGACGTAAAGCAAACCACGCAAGCGCGACAACATTAAAGCTGGAAATCCGTATTTCACTGACAGACCGGAAAATAACTGCTGCGCTGGACTACACACGATCGTGCTACCAGAGAACTACCTGTTGCTCTCGATTACGCAACTATGTTGCCAAGTGTTGTTGGAGAACATTCATAAATCCAAGAAAGAGCAAAATCATTCGAGTGTGAATTCGCGTGAGATTTCCCTCGATTGAACCAAACTTACGAACTGTTACAAATTCCATGTTTTAGTAAACTCATAATTTGAAACAAAACGGTGCTTTTTTCTGTTTTGTAGCACCCTAAATAACTCAATTGATTTCTACGTAATAAACGCAATGGGTTTTATATTTTTACGTCGCATCTTCTATATTCAAATAAATATATCGTAGAGTTTTCAAATAACATCCATCCAGTTTGAGACGCTAATAAAATCCAGTCAAGTTTGACTATGTTAAGAGCTCTCGGAATCTAGCATATTTTACTTCATCGGGTCATGATTTTCGCGCGGTTGCGTTATTTTGTTGGAAAAGAAAGGAAAGAAATAATTGATATTCAGTTTGATTGTACCTATGCCGACGTAAAGTCACCTCACGTCGATACAAGTTATCCATTAGAAAAATATATTATTTTAAAATCTCCCCTTTCCCGTTTGATATGAAGATGTCTGTAAACAAGAACATAAGTCGTGATTTAGTGGTTTTATTGGAATTCATTACACTTTGAAATGTATTGCGTATCGCGTGAACAGAATGCTTTGTATGCTGGGAGAGGTAAAGCCTGGGAATGTATTGATTTAATATTTGCGTACGTCAATTCTTGGTACAATCACGAATTCGCAATTGTTTGCCGTGCACATTACATAAAATGTCGCATTCTGCATTGTGAAGTTTCCGGTGATAAGCCGAAACACATTCAGACACGTACTAGCTTCCATTAGGCCTACCCCAAAATAAAGGCAAGATGACACAAAGTGACGAAGGTAAGGCACGGTAATACACCATTGCTGCAATCTGCATATCGGTCTTACATCAAGTAGGATCAATAATGAATTTAGTGGATTTTTGCGGTTCGGGCGGCCTCTCCACAATTTTCCAATGTCCATGCCGAGCCTTACATCATGCTGTAGCGAGAGACACAGTCGCGGAAAGTGATTCCCTATCGCTATGGCGCAATATGCGACATTACATTACAAGAATATACGGAATACATGTATTCCTTCAAATGAGGTTCCGATAAAATTCTTATATTAAACGTGTTGCTTTATTTAACAAGTACTTTTTCCTTTATTCCTTTTTCATAAACTTCATAGTGGAAGAGATATAATTAAGTGAATTTAATTGCTTTTTTTGGATTTGTATTGATTTGTTTTTTGTCAAAGAACAATAAGAAATGTATGGGAAGAAGTGTAGTTTGCGAACGTTTTCTTAAGTTTACAGATTGAAACTACTGAGCGAAGTTAGCAACAAAGATATTCCCGGAAAACTAGACATTTTGTTTCTCCCTGGTTATAGAAAAATTATATGCATCGATAAACGAACTACAGATTTGATTCTTTTAATGCTGCTAACAAAACAGTAATTCACAATCTTCGCTCTACTCAGCTAGAGAAAGGCGAGATTAGCAAAAGTGAAACTACATTTATGCCCAGTACCAAAACAAGGGGCATTTGCTCAATGGATCAGAGAAACGGGACAAAAACCGGACTGAGATGGTGGTCAATGTAAAAGCTGAAATTCATTATTTGTTACAGGCATATTCAGTATTTTTTTAAATTATACAATACAAATGTAAGCTAGTGCATTTCTAAAATCATTACTATCACTTCTAAAATAAAAATTCTATTATTGGCTACTCTATAAGAATAACGTCCTCTTAAAGTAGCGCGATTTTTTTTACCATATTTCTTACGTAAGTATCCCGTAACTCGCTCGTCATTTTCGTTTTCGTATGTTATCGTCTTGTTCCTTCGTACAATTTTATAACTTGTATTTCGTAACTCTTCTTTTATACACATTTTGTGAAAGTTATATACTGCTGCAAAAAATTGATATTTTGATAGTAATGCATGTTTTTGGGGTCTTTCATCCGAAAAAGTGTTTTTTGTAACAGTTGTTCGTCGGCCTGTCAGCAACACTACCGCCGAAACCATACACGGGATATTCCCCGATTCATCTGGCCAAACTCAGGGACCTACGAACGTGATATACATTTTTGACGGTATTTTTCATGAAGAACCTAGTACATTTTCAAACTTTTCTCAAAATTGGCTCCTTTTTTCATTAGACTTTTGCAATAAATACTCTGCAAAGTACTCTTACAAATATGGATACGTGCGACTTGCATTAAAACTTCTGAACGTTTCAAAATTACAAGAGTTTGAATTTTTTCAACCCTCTACGTCATCTTTATTATTGATGCTAGAGTTTTTTAAGGAAGTAGTACTCTACTTGAAGTAACGTATCGCTAGCCGCAAGAACATTTGAAATAAAGGTGAAATGGGCGAAATTTTATCATGGATACAATTAGTATTATTAGTATTATATTATAGTATTATAATATTACGAGTTACAAATAATACGAGAAAGTATGCGCTGTACTTCATTTCTGTGCCATATTTAATCATAAAAAGGTAAAAAATAATAGACTTAACTCGCTTTGTATGTTCGGTCGTCCAGAATCCTGCCCAACGGCACGCTGCGCGTGGAAGGCGCGCGGCCCGAAGACCGCGGCTACTACCTGTGTCAGGCCACCAGCGGCATCGGAACGGAACTCAGCAAGGTCGTCTATCTAACAGTGCACGGTAAGTGGCAATGGCTTGCTTTTCTGTTGTTAATTCGCTGTACTATATTCCGTATATAAAGTTAACGAGATCGGAATTAAATTATTGAATCAACGAATGAGGGTGGGGTGTGATGGATTTTTTATTTATTGTAATCTTCCTATCCTGTTTCTGTGCCATATTACATTTACAAAAACGTTTTATAGATTGATTGATAGACATAGTCAATGTCATTAGTAATGGCAATTGATTAATGAGTGGTTTTGTTCTTTGCTGAATATAAATTTGGTCGTCTGTCTTGTATATTTACTTGTTATTCACAATTTACACTGGTGGTTCAGAAATTAATGTATTGAAAATACGTTGAAACTGTGAATTCAGTTGGTAAAACTTCCATTAAATAATGAAGTACACATATTTTGTACAACCAGAAGGATTGAATAAATTGAGATGCAGTTTCATTCAGAGCATTTAACATACTATTTAGCTAGAGATCCATCGAATTGTCGTAATTATCTTTATCTCCCAGTAATCATCAGTTTGTTCTTTTAACATAATTTTGTGGTTTTGTTATCACAGCATAAAAGTTAGCAGGTGAAACGCATTCATATATCTTCAACAGCGCGTATGTATTTGTTTCAGTATTAATAAACAAGAAATCCTAATTTTGCTTTAAAATGAAACTAAGTGACTCGACGTTCCAATAATCAGAGCGGAAAAGACTCAAAATCTAAATCAGGTGTTACGATAGATAGAATATCAAAGTGGTGAGAGTCTTTTCTTTTTGTGCAGCCCATAATATGTATTTTTGTACTACATATTTTGTCTAATTTAACAGTTTTGCAAAGAGACTTACGTGACAATTTTGTACTTTGCCCTTTGACTTCGCTAATTCTCTTCCCCTCATACCCTTTCTGACTTCCTTTGCCGTTCTGCTTTGGCTCCCTTCTGCTTTCCTCGTGCGAATATTCTCGCAAGCTACCGCATTCACTAGCATATATCTTAAAGTGTACCTTGCCCAGAACACGCATGGAGAACAAACAGAAACAACTCCTCAGAGGGCCGAAAACTTGGGTACGATCTTGTGCTCGACTAACGAGTGGGGCTCTTGATTCAAAAACTCATGACGCCAGTAATTTTATTCATTATTCTTGTATAGATGGAATCATTTTTGACGTGTGCATCAACATTATATTTTTGCTTATTGGAATTACTCGCTTGAAACAAATGTATTATCTCACGCCGCGTGATTTATACATGTAACGATTTTTAAAATCTTAAATTTCCCATTCAGTTGATGTACTTATATCACTGTAAAAAATTGTCGTTAAATCTCTTCATAATTTCCCAAATAGCTACAGTTTAATAGAATGTTTTTTGTACAAAGTACCATCGAAGCAAATTAGTGTTATTTTAGTAAATGTAATAGCATCATTTGTGATAAAAATCGACATTTCAAAAAGAAGAAATAATTCCTTCATTTTTCTTTTAACGTTAAAAATATAAGCTGACTACGACAAAAACGTGAAACATATGTCTGAGAAATGTCTTTAGGTGATCGATCATGAAAAAGACGAGTACATTTTGTTAGGTAACTTAAAACCACTGCGTGTAAATTTTGTAAGGTATTTTAAAACCATTCTATTTTAAATCATGAATCGCCAGAAACATTTACCCATTAAGCCAGCAAAAGCATAGCTTAGTTTAAAGGAGATACAATTTTATAACTTGTTTAAATCAAATAGTTCGAAATATGATACTTCACGCGATAAAAGAATCGTTTTAATTTCCATTGCATTAAACGGGATTGTTTCTCTTTATTTGCGCCTTGGGATTCGAGAAATGCGGAGAAAAATGAGAAAATCGGAGCAGGCGGACTGGCGGATTCCAGGAATATCAACTGCTATAAAGCACCCCTTAGCGAAGTGAATGTTTCAGTCCGGGAGGTAGCGATGTTTCTTCCTCACTGGATAGTGACATCCGCGCCAATTTAAGGTAGAAAAATACAGGGCGCGACGCGGCGCGACAGATTCAGTAACGCATGTACGGCGCTCAGCGACGCGAATAGTTGATAAATGGCGCTGTCGAAAGCACGATAGTTGTGCCTATGTTACAACGTGTATTTAAAATGGAAAATATTGGGTTGTACGCGAAGACTGTGGAGGAATGTAGTGTGTTGCAGGAGTATGGGAAATATCACCATCTATTTCCAATACTTCCCGATAATGAAAAACTATTCACGTTTGTGTGAATAGATAGTGGTTAGAAAATATGAGTTAGAAGTACATAAAAAGTGTCTACTACTTGAAGAATTCATTGCCTGGGCAATTTCTTCTAACAACTTTGTAATAACACCTCAGTTCAGTGTTTGTGCTTACTCTGCCTCAAAAAACATTTCGTCAATTAACAGATCCCCGTTCAGATTCCCGCTGGCGGGTTGAGATCGCGGGCAGATGGCACGAACTCGCGCGAAAAAAATCAAAGTTAACTGTTCCAATTAGGGTCGCGCCGCGCCTCATGGTACTCATTACCATACACGTAGTTGTTCTTGCCGCTTCGCATCGCGCCACGAAGCATCCTGTGTGACTCCACCCTTACATGTCGACTTGTGAGGCTTACTCCGTCCTTCAGGTATCTCCCTCAGCGGGGAATTTAAATCTCAACATGTGTTGTAGTGTAATGCATGTAAATGTGTGTGAGAGTAAGGGGAGAGGATGGGACACAGACGAGCAAAGAAAGATCACGCGCGGTTCGTGACTTGTTAGGGTACTTGTACAACATTCGCCTGGCATTGATCGGAGAAACCTAGTAAACCCAGCGTTCAAAGCAGCCACTTTCTAGGATACTCCTTCATATAGCGGCTGTATTCTACGTAGCTATTGGGTGGATAGAGTCGAAACTCCAGACGGGATACGAAGTAGGACCGCGCGGCCAAAGTCACTGCCAAGAGAGTGGTAATGAACTACAGTTAGTGTAAAAAGTGAGTAGACAGTTATGTATTCTCTCTGTTTTGCGTCTGTGAAAGCTGTGCAGAGGGAATTAACATTAATAAGATAAAAGAACGTTGGTAACAAAAAATGTCTTCCTTTATTTCCACAAAAAGAAGTTCACAGCGCTAAACCAATACATTCGTACTAATGCAAACAAGAAGCACTGTGTTGAAATGTGGCGTAAAAAGTCATTGGACGCCTAAAAGTAAATGTTCAATGTACCTCCACGAAAAAGATTGAACAGCATTGCTATCCAAATGTTCGACAAACATGTGAAATCCATGGCAGCCAGGATATATGCCTGTATAATGTGCAATCCTACAAAATATTAATAAACGTTGTTTTAAAACAAATGGTAACTGTTCCCAAAGACGTTTTGTGTCCCATTTCGGCGTACGTGTTTCTTGATTTCATTAGTACAGACAGTACTTATTTAGTTATGTTAAACTATTTTTGTTAAAATAAAGGAATAAAGTATTTTTCATTAACATTGTTTTATTTTATTGTTAACTCCCACTACACATTTTTCCTAGACCTTGAATACTTAGTAGAGAAAGTGATCGTATAGTAAGACTTTGGCAAAAATATCTGTAGTGTATTTTCTAAAACGTTATTAGCCAAGACATCTCTCTGTGCTTGCAAAATACGCACAGCTGTGTAGTCAGAAAGTGGTTGTAATTTTACTTCAGCATATGTTTCAGTAACAATAATTGCTTCCTTTTGCGAGAATTTTTTCTTTCAGGTTGCACTTTCTCTTTCGTTTTTTTCCTTTCAGTGTGTTTAATAACATCATACAGATGCAACCTTCTTACTAAACAGCTATAAGTACCAGATCATGAAAGAAAAATTTAAAAAAATGAAAGTTAAAGGTAGAAAGGCTGACAAAAGTAGGTATTCTTCATTATAAACAAAGTATTTTAACTCTAACTAGGGCATCATGGATAAACAATGATTAATGTTTTGAAAACTAGATGAATTTCAGAATCAGATTCAGTTAATATTATAGCCCGGATACGCCTGGAAGGTAACTGAAAAACAATATGAAAAACCTGATTTAAACATTTCATTCTGTTGTGGCACATGAAGTTTCTACTTGGAACTACTGAATTATTACTCAAGGATTGTGTTTTTTAGAAATACAGATTTAAAGTACGTATCTCCAGGTATCGTATTCACAGCACGTATGATTCTGCTTGTCGAGAGAGAAAAATAGTTGCATCGAAATACACACCACTCTTCTTACTGTGAGAGCGAAGAAGTGGGCCGCGCATCACTTGCACTGCAAGGAGTGGAGTGTTTCTTCCTTTCTTTCCTGATCGAGGAAAGACATTTTACTTTCCGTTTCATGTGAAATGTGGAATGATAGCTTCTGAAATATATTTTGATTTTGGAATTTTTTAGCCAACTTTTCCCTCCACTGCGCGGAGGTTCGTATATCAGAAACGTAAAAGTTTCTTTTCTTTAACCTTTATTTAAATATAGATCAGAGATAGTAATTTGAACCACGCACATAATGCAATAGCAGACGTGCCTTATTCATTAAAACTGTTTTATTTTCAAAATTAAATATAGTATATATATATATATATATATATATATATATATATATATATATATATATATATATATAATCTTTCGCGCTCCCTTTACTGAAGAGAAGAGATCGCTTAAGTATTCGTCCAGCAAAGTTGCAATGTATTACGCAGCCGTTATAAATAATAGAGAAAATGCACATATGCACTTTCTTTAGATCCACTGTTTGTGTATCGTCTCCTTACATTATAATTTCAAAGGAAATGAACAGACTTCTCTTCGAATTATCCAGTAATTTGATCTTTATAACATTGAAATTGCAGCCCAGTGAGTACCGCTTTTTCCCTAAAAATTGCCATTTTCAACGTCAGCTCATAATGGACTAAGGGTTTGATGCAATAAAATGATAAAATGGCAGTGATGAGACTAAGCCCCCCCCCCCCACGGAGGTGACCAGGCACATTGCGTTCGCCGCGAGAAGGCGCGTCCTTGGACAAA